TGGTGGAGCATGTCTATAGTCCCAACACTCAGGAGGCTGAGGTAGGAAGACCACTATGAGTATGAGGTACCTGCCTGTACTATCTAGCAAGACCTTATCTCAAAAAATAAATAAATAAATAAAAAAGACAGGGAAAAAGGAAGGAAAGAAGGAAGGAAGAAAGATAAGGAAGATATTTACCCAGCCCAGATCAAGCTTGCAGCCATTCTGTCTGGGCCTGCAGGGGTGGCATCACTCATCTTGTCCTCACTCTCCTCTGCCTTGCCCGCTTTGCAGTCTAAGACCTCAGTGCCTGTGGACGCCTTTTTCTCTCTGCTGACCAGTGAGCAAACAGTACGGCAGTTCCCGAGGATGACCGAGGCCATCGCTCGCATTCGGGCAGAGGGCTTCCAGACTGCAGTTCTGACCAACAATTTCTGTCTTGCCAATGGGAAAAGCTTTTTTCCGCTGGACCGGAGCCAGTTTGACGTGGTAAGCTTGAGGGAATCTACAAGGTTGGACACTGGATCTTTGCACCTGCCTCGTAGCAGCATTTAGTGAATGTGGGGTTTTTGGGGTTTTTTTTGCCAGCTCAACCTGCCCTGGGGGTGGGCTGGTGTGGCATGTGGTGCCAGGGATCAAACTGTGGTCCCTGCAGTTGCCTAAGCTTGCCCAAGCAGGCGCTTTAGACCATGAGCTATCTCACCAGCCCTAATGAATGTGTTTTTATGCAGCCGCTTGACTGGGTTATATTTAGATATAATAGGCCAAAACAGCTTTAAAACATCATTGTGGCTTTAGCCAGGCCCAGCTTGAATGGGACTTGAGCCTCAGCTGCAGCAGCCCCTTGACATTTGAACTGAGAGCCCAGATTACACTCAACAACGCCTCCATTCACCTGTGTCTGCATGGCTCTTTGAGCTCTGGTTTTCCAAGACTGACTGAGTCTCCTTCACTAAGTGTTTATGTCTTATAACTGACAGCAGTAACAATTGCTCTTGGAGACTCCAAAGCCCAGGAAGGCTTCTGGGGTCTCCCACAGTTGTGATGGTTCAAGGGAACCCTTCCTTCAGACTTGTTCTCCATGGCTATCCCAACTCAGTGCAAATGGGAAACAGCTCACCAAACACAGTGAGAGTCTTGGTGGTCTCCGGAGCTCATTGGTGGAAATTTTCCTGATAATTTCAGTAATACATTTTACTAGCAGAGCCTCTTCCTCCTTAGCACCATTGTTTGGTTCAACTCTAGAAAGTACCATGTTCCCAGCCCCCCTCTCCTTTCACTGGACCAGGGAGATTGAAACAAAGATTTGCTCTGCCTACCCATCAGTGTCAACTGGGGTTTAAATGGATATCAGGTCCCTTTCTCTGGAGGTTGTCAGACTGGATCAGGGTGGGCCCTGGGCAGGACCCCCATCCCACATGCTTTTGGTGAAATGTATAGCCTTTCTTCTCTTCTGGGTGACCATAGTGGTTTGAGCTAACTCAGTTTAAGTTTCACAAGAACCACTCAGATAGGGAAGATGGTCATTACCCCATTTTCCTGAGGAGGAAACTGAGGCTAGTTTTGTCCAAGCTACAGGGTCTGAACCAGAACTTTGATTTCCTAAGTTTGCCCCCAGGCCATAGTACAGAATTTCCCAATCATTCTATTTAAGAAAATAACATCATTTAAGCCTCAGACATCTTGCTCTTTCTCTCAAAAAATGTGCCACAATGCATGTGGGTGCTTTACCTCTAGGGCCAGTGCTCTCCTCCTTGTTTCCCTCAGGTGGTGGAGTCCTGCTTGGAAGGAGTCTGTAAGCCAGACCCCAGGATATACCAGCTCTGCCTGGAGCGCCTTGGCCGGCAGCCCTCCGAGTCCATCTTTCTCGATGATCTGGGACCAAATCTAAAAGCAGCTGCTAGCCTTGGCATGCGCACCATTAAGGTAATTGTCATGACTTGTTTTCTCTCTCCCTTATAGTACTGGAGACTGAACTCAGGGCCTTGCCCATGGTAGGAAAGTGTTCTATCACTGAGCTATATTTCCACTCCAAGCCCCCCACCTAAATTCTGAGGGATTGAATTGCCCAAGCTGGCCTCCAACCTGCAGGCCTCCTGCTTCAGCCCCTCACATAGTTTGAACTATGGACCTCTGTCACCATGCTTGGCTCATTACTTTAAAAAAAAAAATTACGATGCACTAGTAATTAGTGCCACCTTTCAGGATGGCAGCTGGACTCTTCAGGCGATGCTTCTCTAGATGAGGACTTAGCAGCCACCACCAACCACATGTACCACCCAGGTTGTGGCTGTGAGCGTGGAAGCCAAGAGAGGGGTCACAGGCCATTTTCTACATTGGGTTTTCATTATTCAGCATGTGGCAGTAGGGACATAGAAGACACTGCCACATAGTCTTCTGCCCCATTAATGGGCACTCTTTTAAGTTGAAGGAAAAGTCAATGCAGCTAAGCATTGACTGGAGGTGAAACTCCTGCCTTAGAGCTGCATGGCCTGACTCCATGGGTCTTCCTCAAACTGGCCCTGTGGCTGTCTCCTTCTGGAGAATCAGCTTCATGGGGGACAGGCACAGGGTAGATTTTTCTTTCTAAAACCAGGTCAGTGACCCAGAGACTGCAGTGAAGGAATTAGAGTCTCTTCTGGGTTTTCCACTGCACTTGGGAGTTCCCAACACTCATCCTGTGAGGAAGAACATGGAAATCCCAAAGGATGCCCTGCAGAAGTACCTCAAAGGCTTGCTGGGGACCCAAATAACAGGTATGGGTGTGCGTGTGTGTGTGGTACACTCACAACTTTTATTTATTTTTTTTGACACTAATGAGTCTGAGTTGACAAGTTGTCCAGACTGGGCGTGAACTTTCGGTCCTCCTGCCCCAGCTCCCAGAATGCAGGCATTATAGGCATGCGGCACCATGCATGGCTAGTATTGGAGTAGTCCTGTCCAGGCTGTGCGGCCTGTCTGGTTCTCACTGTCAAACCCTGAAGGAATATGCTGACGCCCAAGAGGCAGTGCTGTGAGGAAAATGTTGCCTGCTTTCCTGACCAAGTAAATGGTCACCATCCAGTTTGGCTTTGCTGTGAAGCTCAGAGTTCATTAGGGTCACCTCTGCTAGCAGTTGGCAAGGGAGAGCTCAAGCAAGTGGGGGAGGGGAGCGCCGCCTGGAAGCAGCTTGGCACATGATGAAGGCCCCTGCAGAGCTCCGTCCAGCTGTCACATCAGCCTCGGGCGTGGTTTGGCTGAGTATAGGTGAAGGACACATAAGGGCACTCTCCTTCTCAGGCTTAGAGCATTCCTCTGCCCGGATGGGTTGCCATGACTGGGTGTGTGTTGCTAAACAGAACTAAAGTGCTTTTGTTCCCGGGGCAGGAGTTGGCAAGAAGCATACAGGCCGATGCTGCAAGCACATGGCCTTTGCCTCTCTGAAGCCACATGTGATTCTGGGCCTGAGTCGGCAGGATGTGCCTGGGACTCAATGCCCTGGTGGCCGGGGAGGAGGTGCTGCACACTGCAGCCTGTGTGAGGCTATTCTGTATCCCAAATGCAGAGCTCACTACAAAGAAGGGCTGTCTGTCCACGCAGGCTGGGCTGCAGCTCTAGTTTGAGTATTTTTTTCAAATTTCAGGCCCGATGGATCTCCTTCAGTTTGATCATGGCCAATCAAATCCCACTTACTACATCAGACTGGGCAGTCATCAGCTGGTCCTGAGGAAGAAACCCCCAGGGACTCTGTTGCCATCTGCCCATGCAGTAGAGCGGGAGTTCAGGTAAATTCTCAGTGGTCAGGCGCTGCTTACCCATTGTCCTCCACAGTGCGTAAGCGCGGTCTAGTGCATGAAATCAGCCGCTGTAACACACCCTGAGTCATTTAGAATTACAACTAGGACTCTCCACATTATTTTAAATAAGAACATATGGCCACTTACTTATTTTAGATCTGATCACACTGTATTGCTCAGATCTTGAAGTCCTCCGTCTCAGCTTCTTGAGTACCTAATGTTATTTAGAAAACACTCTTCCTAGGCAGCCATGGTGGCACACACCTGTAATCCCAGCACTTGTGGGGCTGAAGTAGGAGGATTCCCATGAATTTGAGGCCAGCCTGGGCTACATAGTGTGCTCAAGGCCAGCCTAAACTACATAGTGAGACCCTTTCAAAAAATCGAAAAAGATAATCTTTTCTTTTTAAAAATGTTACCATTGGATTTTGTATTTTTTTGCCTTAAGTGGTAGGATAGCATTTATTTAAGCACCTTTCAAGGAGTGGAGGCAGCATTGAGATACTCTGTAGTGTTGCCTTTTAGTCTTAAGTATGCGTGTGCGTGCGTGCGTGCGTATGTGTGTGTGGTGCTGGGAATTTAATCCAGTCCAAGTACTCTACCACTGAGCAATCCCCATCCCTATCCTTAGATTTAATGATTTTTTTTTTTTGTTTCGTTTGATTTATTTTGGCTTTTTTTTTTTTTTTAATGCATTTAGTACAGTGTCTCACTACACCGATCGGACTTGTAGTGATCCTCCTGTTTTCAGCCTCCCAAGAACTGGGATTACAGGCATGCGCCACCACGCCCAGTCTCAATCTCAGCGTGCCCTGGGGGCAAGGCCAGTATGGCACGACAGGGATAGAACTCAGATAGTTTGGCTTTCTGAGACAGGGTCTGGACCTGTAGTTCTGGCTGGTGTTGAAGTCACTGGGTAGCCCCACTGACCTCAAAGTTGTGATGATCCTTCTGCTCCAGGCTCTTAAGTGCTGGGATTGTAGGTGAGTGCTACCATGCCTGACTCTAGATGTAAGAACTTTTAAGTAAATATTGAAATGTTTAAGACCTTTAGTCTTATAATCAATGTTATTGGGGTGGTAGTCATTGGAGCTGCATGATGGGTACATGGGAATCTATTATACACACCTATGTTTATATGTGACTGAGATTTTCCACAATAAAATGCCGTAAGAGAATAGGTATTACAGCCCATCCCCAGTAAAATAGGTTGTCACGCTGAGAGGAAAGCGGCTCTCGCTTATCATGGAGGTCACATTCCTGGTACCTGGAATAAGTGAAAATCAGTGAAGTAGCAACGTTACATTTTGGTATTTATATGTGTTTTAAGGCTTTATAAACCCTTTCCACACTCTTACAAACCTTTCCCACACTTTTAAAAACACTTCTAATGTTTGTAACCATTTCCTAAACTCGTAAATCTACATGATTTTTACATACATGTACTGTATGCTACTGCAAAGTCCTGCGATAGAGCAAAAAAATCTATGATAAATAATTTAGATTGATATTTTTTGAAAACCCTCAAAACAGTGACTCTGCAAAAGTCGAACTGCAAAATAGTGAGGGACTGCTGTATATAAGATTGAGAAAAAGAAAGTGCCAAGCCAAGAGAGAGCAGGGCTCCCAGCCGGAAGGCCCCTTCCCACCTGCGGCTCTGCACAGGACCACTGCAGTCGTGTGGAGAATGGGGCTGCAGCCTGTCGTCTCTCGTCTCGACTTCTGAGCTTCTAGGCTGTGGCTTGTCTTGAGTTTCACAGGGACACTTTTTTTTTTTTTTTTTTTTCTCATATCAGTATTTCTTAAGTTTTTTTTGTTTTTGTTTTTGTTTTTTTGGCAGAACCGGGGATTGAACTCAGGCCCTTGTGCTTGCTAGGGAAGCACTTATTCCACTGAGCCATCTCCCCGGCCCTGGTCTTTTTTAAAAGAAGCAGTCAAGTGTGGTTGTGCAGGCCTGTAATCTCAGCACTCAGAAGGCTGAGGCAGGAGGGTTGCTGTGAATTTGAGTGGGTTCAAAGGTAAACAAACAAGAAACAATGGATATTTGCTTATAATGTTTGGGGGGGCATGGGCGCAGCACACCCTAGGGGCGGGGCTGGTATGGCATGTGGTGCTAGGGACCAAACCATGGTCCCTGCGCTCGCCTAAGCTTGCCTAGGCAGGTGCTTTAGACCGCTGAGCTATCTTGCTGGCCCAAGAATCAGTATTTGGTTTTGAGATTTTTTTTCCTGTTTCTTTGCTACTTTACTTCATTCCCTTTCAGTAATTTATTCTGGATTTTTTTTCTTTTACTCTTTTCTTTTACAAACCCAGGGCCTTTGCTTTGAGCTCCATACTCAGCCTATTTTTATTTATTTAGTTATTTATTTAGTTATTTATTTAACATACTATCTTGTTAATTGTCCAGGCTAGGCTTGAGGCTCCCAAGTGCTGGGATTACAGGCATGCAACACCATGCCTGGCTCTGGCTGTTTTTCTTAAGCTATAAATCTTAGACCATTGTTTTAAAATTGGTCTTCTTTTATACTACAGGCATTTACATTTTTAAGTTTCTAAGCATTTGTTAAACTATATCACAAAAAAAAAGAAAAACTATATCACAAATTTTGACATTTCGTATTTAGCATTCTGGTTTGAAATATTTTAAAATTTCCCATTCCTCTGTGACCAATAGAAATGTGTTAGTTAGTATCTCACTATTATCTTCTAGATTACCATATATTAATGATTCTTAATTTTATTTCCTTGATGAATGAGAAATACTAAGAATTCACTATTTTTTGATTAAACTTATTTTACAGACCAGCATGTGATTAATCTTAGTGAACATACTTACATGTTGTGTGCTCTTGAAAATAGACTGGGGACATAGCTCAGCCATCTAAGCACCAGCCTGGCAAGCGCAAGGACCCAGTACAGTGTGCTATTCCAGGTCTAGAACCCCAGGTGCACTGTTTCAGCCACCCAAACCAGGCATGGTGGCGCACGCCTGTAATCCCAGCACTGGGGAGGCTGAGACAGGAGGATCACTACAGGTCTGAGCTGTGTAGTGAGATCCTGTACCAAGTAAATAAAAGATTAAAAAAAAAAAAGAAAGAAAATAATATGTATTCTGCAGTTACTGATTGAATTGTTCCAGAAACATCAGGTTAAATTTGTTGATAGTATCATTCATGTCTGTGTCTTTAACTTTGTTTAGTTCTGTCATTACGGGGAGAGGGATATTAAAATCTGAACCATGATCGTAGCTTTGTCCATTTCTCTCTTCATATGTGCTGAAACGCCGTTGCTGGTGCATTTGGGTTTTGGCTTTGCCATACTGGGGATTGAACTGAGGGCACTGTTCCATTGAGCTGCACCCCCAGTATTATTTGCTTGTTTTTCCAGGCTCTGGGAATTGAAGCCTGCTCTCACACATTCGAGTTTCTCTACCACTACATTATGTTCCCAACCTCCCCTTTTGAGACAGGGTCTTATTGACCTTGATCTTACAGTCCTCCTGCCTCAGCCTCCCACACAGACAGGATTGCAGGCTTGCATCATCTCACTAGCTCCCAGTGTATTATTTTTTTCAATCAGAAAAGTCATTTCAAGAAAATCTGATCAATTCAGCCAGCAGTAATGCTCATATTTATTTGTTCTGCAGGATCATGAAAGCCCTTGCAGGCGCTGGAGTACCTGTCCCGAGGGTTCTTGACCTTTGTGAAGATTCAAGGTAACGTCTAGACATGTTTTTGCGGTTACATGTTGAAGCTACAGAAGTCCCTTTACTAACTCAAAGGCGAGTTTGTTAGCATGAAAACAAAAAGAATTTTGAGTTGGAGAGAAGAGAGACTGTATAGCAACCTTTATTAGGAGTTCTCAGGTCTTTAATTTATCCTGAAAGGTAAATGCATTGCCTACTTTCACGGGGGTTGGTAGAAAACAGCTTTCTTTATATGTATCCACTTAGTTTCTTCTACTTGTTTTTATTAATTTTTATTTTATTTTATTTTTGTGTATTTTAGAGAAGGGTCTATGGGATGTTCAAGGTCTCACTACTAAATCGACTCACAGTGATCTGCCTGTTTACAGCCTCCCAAGAGCTGGGATCATAGGCACGCACTACCTCGCCCAGTCTCAGTTGCTGTCTTAACGCTCCCCGGGGGTGGGGCTGGCATGGCAAGCCTGAGGATCGAACCCTGGGCCCCTGCGCCTGATTGCAGGCACTGTAATCTGCTGAGCTATTTGGTCTTTCTATAATGTTTTGAACCACCTTGAAGCCTACTTTTTGTCTCAACTAATTAGGGATATTTTGAAACATACAAAAAAATGAAAGAAAAGATGTCACAAGCCTCTAGTTATACTCATGCAGATTAACATTGTTATGCACCACCTTTCTATAAATGCATGTGGAAATATATATATATATATATATATATATACTATATTTTGATGGCTAAACCTTTTGAAGTTGGAGAGAGTATGCATCTTATAAATATGAATACATTTTATTGTCTACCATAGCATCATTAGTACGCCTAAGATAATTATCAAGTGTCATGAGCACTTACTTGGTCCCCAAGATGTTCTAAATGTACTAAAACCTGAGGATGCTTGAGTCCCCTACATGAAATGGCAGAGTATTCACATATGCATTACACTACACATATGGTCCCGCGTGTTCTAAGTCATCTCTCACTTACACACAGTGTTTAATGCAGGGTGTGTGCTGTAGTAGCAGGAGCAAGTCTGCACATGCGCAGAACTGACGTAGTGCTCTTTCCCAGTGTTTCTGATCAGTGTGTAGTTGAACCCTTTCATGCGGAACACATGGGTATAGAGGCTGTACATTGATACTACTACTTAATATCTAGTGCATGTTCAAATTTCCCTAATTCCAAGATTTTCTTTTATAAACATTTTCTGGGTTCTTTTGGGTACTGGGAGTGGAACCCAGGTTTACTTTACCACTGAGCCGCATCTTGAGCCCCTTTTGTTTTTTAGTCTCCTTAAGTTGCCCTGACTTGGCTCACATTTGAAGTACAGCCTCCCTAATAGGGACAAATTTTTACAGTCAGTCAAACATTTAAAATAATTCTAGAGTTTTCAGAACTTTTGAGAGTAGTATTCTGATTTCTGGTAATAACAAATTAATGGCACATTGCTAGCTCACCTGAAAACATCATGTGGCAGCTGGGTGTGGTAGCAACAGGCCTGTAATCACAGCACTTGGGAGGCTGCGGCAGGAGATGACTGCAAGCTCAAGGCCAGCCTGGACTGCTTAGCAAGAGCCTGTTTCCAAAAATTAACAAAACCGGGGCTGGGGAGATGGCTCGGTGGAATAAGCGCTTTCCTGGCAAGTGCAAGGGCCTGAGTTCAATCCCCGGTTCTGCAAAAAACAAACAACAATGAAATGTTAGATGGGATGTTGTGGCTTTCATACCATGACATGATAAAGGACCAAGAAGAGATACCTGCTGGCCCCTTGTTGCAGCCAGATCCAATGAGAAGCTGTTTATTTCCTTAGTTCCTACAGCTACACTTGACATGGGTCTGCTTTACAGATAAACAACACCACAAGTTCAGTGTGTCTCAGGGTCACACTGCTAGTGAAGGGCAGAAGGGTAGAGGTGGGGTTCAGGCCTGCTTCTGTGTGACTCTGAAGCGCCTGCTTTCAACCATGCCGCTTTGTACATTACCACACTTAAATCCATCTGATTGTTTCTGCAAATGGACCAAAGAGCAGAAAGGGCAGGCTGTGTGCATGTGTGCGTGCATGTGTGTGCACCTAAGATCCCGTCTGTGTCCCTTGCAGTGTCATCGGCACACCCTTCTATGTGATGGAGTACTGCCCAGGCCTCATCTACAAAGACCCCTCTCTGCCAGGCTTGGAGCCCAGCCAGAGGCGAGCCGTGTACGCTGCCATGAACCGAGTGCTGTGCCAGATCCACAGTGTGGACTTCCAGGCTGCAGGCCTGGATGGCTATGGGAAGCAAGGTGGGCAGAAGCCCCTGGTCCTTCAGGCTGGCCGCGTCCTCACAGGGAGCTCGGCTGTTAGTGTCTGTGGGGTGTAGCATTAACAACCAAATGTGTGCACAATGGAGGTGGACTTAGCTCCCACCTTGAGAACCTAAGTACTTTTTTATTGCTAGGAATCGGATCCAGAGGCAGTCTACTACAAGCTGCATCTACAGTCCTTTTTGTTTTTTATTTTGAGACAGGCTTTTACTAAGATTCCTGTGTTGCCTTAAACTTGGAATCCTCCTGTTTCAGCATCCCAAATAGCTGGGATTAGAAACATGCACCATGACCTCTGGCTTTTTTTGTTGAATATATGAAAGAGTTCTACTTGCTCTTCTTCCTTGTCAACATTTGTTTGTTTGTTTACCATTTGTTAGCATTTTAATGAGCCCCCTGTCCAGAAGCTTCAAGCTACCAGGACACAGGCCCCCCCAACACCCTTAATCTTCTCCTCAGCTCTTCTGCTGAAGAATTTGGCTTTCACGATGACAGGCTGCTTTGGGAGCTTTCCCTTCCCAAGAACTGTGTAGTAGCCGGATCGCACTACATCAATGATGGGAGCTACTCCAGTCTTGGTTTTGGCAGCATTTACTCGTGTCTGCTCCCTGACCATGTCCACAATTTATCAAGGTTGACAGTTGGGCAGAAGCTCTGGTTTTTCTTTAAGTGGTAATGCCTCATACCAACCTTCCCAAAGTAACCTGGGTGATATTTGTCGAAGTTGATCCTGTGACGATGCATGCCGCCAGCATTACCCCGGCCTCCGGGGTGCTTCCGGTGCTTGTCCGATGCGGCCCTGGCTGTGCCTCACATGGCCCCGAAGCTTCCGGGTCTTCCTTAGTCTGGAGGGCATGTTGGCGGGCCGAGACGAAAGGGCCTTGTCAACATTTGTATGGTCAAGTTTTTTTCTCTCTTTTTTTTTTTTTTTTTTTAAACTTTTAAGTGAGGCTGAGTTTGACTGTTGCCAAAGCTGGTCTCAAACTCATGGGCTCAGGTGACCCCTGCCCTGGCCTCCCAAATGGCTGGGACCACATACAGCTGCCTGGCACTGGAGGGTTTCACATAGTTTGTCCTCCTAACAACTCTAGGAGGACCTTCTCAAGACAAGGGAAGTCAGGCACAAAAAAGTTAAATCACATGTCTTAGATCGCATGTGGAAAATGGCAAAGCTGGCATACAGTCCTTAGCAGGATTGCTCCAAAGTTCATACTGTTTTATTAGTCACTATTGTCTTGCCAAAAAGAGACTTATTAAAGGCTGTTTGGAAGCTCACAAGATCTCCAAGAGGGCGGGGTATCAGGCTTGAATGATATATGGCAGAGAACAGGGTCCAGAGCACACTGAGCAGGCCAAGCCAAGATGGTGAAGGCAGCAGGTGCTTCGTGTGGGACAGCCTCCAGCCACAGGAATGGTTCTGAGACACAGCACGTCCCCAGGGTCTTGCTGCTCCAGTAATTTTTGAAACCTTGGAGTCAGTAGAAATGGTCCCCCACATTGTGATCCTCTCTCCTGCAGGGGACTATCTTCCTCGCCAGGTACAAACCTGGACAAAGCAGTACCGAGCCGCAGAAACCAGCACCATCCCAGCGATGGAGAGGCTCATCCAGTGGCTACCTCTCCATCTTCCCACGCAGCAGAGGACCACAGTGGTACATGGGGACTTCAGGTAGACACGGCCATCAGGGGGCTAAATATTAAATATGTGAAGTCACCTAAAGGGGAAATGAAGCAACTGGTCCAGTCTAGTTTACAGACAGGAACTGTTCCCTTGACTGGGTTCCTCCTTGGTCATGGGGCTGTTCTGCCTTGTAGGATGCCAAGCATCATCCTTAGCTTTGTGGCCACCGAACTTGTCTGCACGCATTGGCCTCTGTCCTGGTAGGGCAGCATTTCTCTGGGTGGACAACCACTGTTTGGAGGTCAGGCAGAGGAGGGAGTCTCTTAAATCCTATGGGGTGTTGATAGACATTTGCCTTGGACAGAGGGGAAAGAAAGAACAGGCCATGGAGCTGGTTTCCAGGGTTCCTGCTGAGTCTGCAGCCTGGCTAGGACTAGAAGCTGAGTGCACCTGGGTCTTTATCTTTACAGCCCTGGATGCACTTGGGCAGCCTTTACAGTGTGTGTTTCCCAGCAGCACTTAGAGGCCTGCTTTGCATGCGTACACTGCTTATTTGGGGTCTGCCCATTTACTTAGCGGTCTTCTTGTCCAGCGTGGGGAGCTGTGCCTTGCATTTTATTTTTATGTAAGTGTGTTATTTGCCTCACACATGCTAAGCACATAATCTACCTCTATGCTATGCTCCCAGCCCAGTGAGGCCTTTATTGCAGAAAGCTAGCCAATACAGCTAACTGTAAAGGCATTGCTTTGCTTCCCAAAGATTGGCCTTTCTCTGCTGGCTTGACTGTGTCAGCTGCTCATGGAGCTTTCCTCTAGCTGATGTTGGTCCCCCTGAATCTGAGTGTGAAAGGCTGACCCTTGTCTACACCATGTGCTTGTCCACAGGAATAGGATCCATCTGCTCTTGCACCAGTGTCTGCCTAACTGGACTGAGCCTTTTCTCCCACACTGCCTTGAACTTGGCCTGTAGCTGGTCTGCACTTGACCCCTCTCCTTCCCCCCCACCTGGGCACCCCAGAACCTTGCCCTGCGGTGCTCTTGCCAGTAATGAAACAGCCTCATTCTTTCGTGGGGAAGAGTGCGGGTGGCCTTTGCACTCCCAGCTCTTAACTACTGCACCTTGGACCTGAGCTTTGCACTTTGGAGGTGCAGAGTACAACAGCAGACAGGAGACATCTAGTGGCGGCCTGGGAACCTCCTATAGCTGACACAAAGTATAATGATCATTTCTGGTGATGCTTTCAGGAAAGACATGGAAGATTTTAGAGATAACCTGCCACTTGTTGATCATCCACACTTAAGAGCCGAAGACACTTCCATCTGTTGGTAGATGGAGGAATGGTCATTACATATAGTGAGACTCAGTGGTAGTGGGAGCATAAATTGGTACAGCTTCTGTGACAGTGTTAGCCAGTAACATAGAAAACAGGAAGATGCTACATACTATAATTCCTTTTCTAGAGGCGCAGGTGCATGTGGGCAACAAAAGTGAATTGTAGACAGGCGTGGAGATGCATGCCTGTAATCCCAGCACCCTTGGAAACTGAGGCAGGAGAATCCTGAGTTTGAGCCCAGTCTTAGCAACTTAGACCTTATCTCAAAATAAAAAAAAAATAGAAGGTTCTGAGTTCAATCCCCAGTTGGAACAACAGCAGTTAAGCAAATTGTGCTTTTGCTTATAACATGATAGACAGTGGTTAGGCTATGATGGAATTCTGGTTAGCAGAATAAAGATAAACCAGTGTGCTGTAGTAAGTTTAAAAAGAGGTAGAAGGGCGGGGGAGATGGCTCAGTAGACAAAGTGCTTCCCTGGCAAGCGCAAAGGCCTGAGTTTAATCCCTGGTTCTGAAAAAAAAAAAAAAGAGGTAGAGCCGCCTATGTATGGCTGCCCAGGTATATTAAATAAAGCTAAGAGAAGTATAATAATCTGATTAATATATACTAGCTTTATGCCAATACTTACCTGCAAGGGAAGTGAGCAGAAATAGAGGCAATGTGCTACATCTGCAGCGTTTTTCTTTGGCATTTTGAGAGTTGTTCAGGCTGCTTTGAACTCAATATATAGCCCACGCTGGCCTGGAATCTGCAAAACTCCTGCCTCAGTCTCTCCAGTGCTGGGATTATAGGTGTGTGCCACCACACCGGCTTTTCATAAATTTTTGTGTTTTAAAAATTTGTGGCTGGGGATATAGCTGAGTGCCACCTCACCTGGCAAGGGTGAGGTCCTGAGTTCAATTTCAGTTACTCCCCCCCCCCCAAAAAAAAAAAAAAAGAAAAAGAAATTTGGAGGAAATAGAATAAAGGAGGTACAATATCGGTTGAATTAGGAAGATGGGCACGTGAGTTTCTATTTTTTTCTGGTTTCTTCTTGCATGTCTGATCATTACTTTTCCTTTTAAATATTTAAAGCATGTATTAGAACCCTGGCAGAAAAACTCAGAGGCCATTGGAGGAGAAACTAACAGGGGTACAGCATGATTTAGAGGGACACTGAACAGCTAGGAGCCCCGGGCTTAGCAACAGTGGGGAGTCCTTTCCATCCCAGGTCTGAAGGGGACAAGCCTTCTCAGCTGTTACTACAGCTGTTAATACTTCAGCCGTGCAGCTGCTCCAAAGCCGAGGACTGGGGACAGTGCTGTGTTGTTTTGTGGGCATCTGCGTATGGGCACAGAACAGCTTATTTCCTAGGCAGCTCTGTGCTATGCTGAATCCTCTGCTGGCTCGCTTGTGGGCAGAGAAGGCACAAACAGCTGGGCTTCTGGAGCTACACCCCTGCCTTTTGGCTTCCCACGGCTCTCCCTCACATGGTGGCTTCTGGGTAGCTGGACTTCTTCCCTGGTGGCTCAAGGCTCCAGAGCTGTGTGTTCCAGGAGGGAGGGCCAGGGGAGAGCTGTGTCACCTTTTCTGAGCTGGACTAGTGCATGGATTTCCAAGCATCATTTCTTCCTACTTTGTTTGTTAGAAGCCAAGTGATTCAGGAGTGAAGACTTCAGCTCTACCTTTCACAGAAAGAGTAGCAAAGAAGGTGCTAAGTCCAACTGGAAATCAGAGGAACAAAGGGCCTTGGCACAATGCGCACAGGCCACGGGTCTCAGGCCCTTGCATAGAGAGCCCAGGGAGAGGGGGGAGTGGGCCGGGAGGGGCAAAGCCCCAGGCCCAGGGAAGGACACACGCAGGGTCAGTGTTCTTAGAACTGACTCTCCATTCCTTCTGTGGCTTTTCAGGCTTGACAACCTGCTCTTCCATCCGGAAAAGGCTGAGGTGCTTGCTGTCCTTGACTGGGAGCTTTCTACCTTAGGCGACCCCCTTGCCGATGTAGCCTACAGCTGCCTGGCTCACTACCTGCCATCCAGTTTTCCCCTGCTGAAAGGTAGGAACTGCACTAGGGATAGACAGGGATGGGGCTGGCTGCATTTACCAAGCATTTGGGATTGAACTTGGCTAAAGTTGATTGTGATTGGGCTGGAGCTGTCCTGGTGCTTTAGGTAGAAGCTGTCATGGGGATGTGATGCTGTACCATGGGGGATGTGTTAAGTGACAAGTGGGCTCTTGTGGATTCTCTTGTGCACTCACACAACTAACTACTGCTTCATAACTCAAACTCAAAAAGGTTTTACAACAAATACAAGTTTGTTGCAAAAACATTAGATCCAACAGATAGCAAGATAAAACCCAGTTAAAATCACTGGCTCAGGGGTTGGTGAGATAGCTCTGAGGTCTAAATGCCTGCTTAGCAAGTACAAGGACCAGGGTTTGATCCCCAGTACCACATGCTGTGCTGGCCACCGAAACCAGGCACGGTCGTGCACACTTGTAATCCTATTACTAGGGAGGCTGAGACAGGAGGGTCACTGCATATCAAGACCCTGTACCAAATAAATAAATCAGTAAAAGGTTAAAAAAAAA